CATGTCTTTGATTGTAAATGGGCCTATGAAGGATGGCTTAAGTTTCTTATTACCCCCCAAATTATTAAAATTTACAGTAGATAATAGAACCTTATCCCCAATTTTAAAATCTGGTTGTTTATGGCTCTTATCCCATCTGTTCTTATTATACTCTACAGCTTCTTCAACACACTTTCTGGCATGAGTTTGAGTCACATCAAGCATCTTTTTAAAGTCTAAAGCTGTTGGGTGTATATGTGGTAATTTATCATTAAGAGTATCTTTTGGCATTCTTGGGATCCAACCTCTCTCAAGGACATAAGGTACTTCATTTGAGGAAGAATGTTTGCTGCTGTTATATGCAATTTCAAGATCAGGCAACAAGCTGACCCAATCATGAGTATAGCCATCATGGTTCTTAAATTCTAAACCAAATGAGCAGAATCTTCTGAGCATATCTTCTAAGGTCTGAATCATCCTTTCAGCCAGGCCATCAGTCTGGGGGTGGTAGGCTGTGGAAAAAGCTAATTTAGTACCAAGCATGTCATGAAGGTTGCTCCAAAATTCTGAGGTGAATTTAGGATCTCTATCACTGATGATAATTTTGGGAATTCCTACGTCAGCCATTATTCTGTTCCAGAATAACATGGCTACTTCCATTGCAGTGTCATCCTTGTGGTTTGGGATAAACCTGGCTCTTTTGGAGTACCTGTCCACTACTACTAGAACAGAGTTGTAAGAGTAAGCTCCTCCAGGAGGCAGTCCTGTGACAAAGTCCATGTTAATTATTTCCCACTTAGTACTGGGCTCTGCAATTTTCTGGAGTAACCCATATCTTTTTCCTGTTTGTTTATTTGATTTTTGACAAATTTCACAAGACTTGACATAATTGGTGACTTGGGATCTCCAGTCTAGCCACCAGGCAGTATGTTTTATCCTTTCCACTGTTCTATCTTCAGAAAAGTGGCCAGAATTGACATTGTCATGACATTCATAAAGAATGTTGTCAATTTGGGCCTGGTCACACAGTACTAAAACACTAGAGTGTCTATTTCTGTAGTACAGTAATCCATCCAATAAGGTGAATTTTCCTTCAGAATAAGGTTTTGCCAATTTAGGGGGCAGGCTAGCAATTAACTCAGGGGAACTATTTTCATTGCTCAGGATGTCAACCAATTTTAACAATTCAATATTATCCTTATAGCTGTCTTGGACTAGGTTGTAGAAAGCTACATCCAAATCACACACGTGGATTCCCAAAATGGGAAAAATATCCTCATCTTCTGGATCCCAGGCTGGGTTATCAGGTGTGTTGGGTAAAGCCCATCTACTAAGTCCATCTGCATTTCTGTGTTTAATGCCAGCTTTATGAACAATTGTCATATGTCCTCTGTACTGTTGAATAGCAATTTGCCACCTGAGCATATGTCTGTTAGGTGTTTTCATATTCATGAGAGTTTTAACTGCTGTGCAATCAGTGACTACTACAACTTTTGTGCCCTCAAGGTAGTAATGTAATTTTTCAAGTGACCAGACTAATGCTAAACACTCCATTTGGCTTGCTCCATATTTCCTCTCACTTGACTTAATTTGCCTAGAGATAAACAATACTGGTTTTTCAGTTGGAATATCATCAATCTCAAATTCTTGATGCAAAGCTGCACCCAAACCATCCAAACAAGCATCTATGTATAAAATAAATGGTTTGGTATAATCTGGTTGGGCCAGAACAGGAGCAGTAGTCATAAGGTGTCTTAATTGCTCATAATCCTGGACACGGGAATATGTCATCTCATATATTACATCTTTACTACAAATTTCATAAAGACTATGGGTAATATTGGCAAATTTGGGGATATGTTGCCTATAGTAGCTACAAAAGCCTAGAAATGATTGCATTTCTGTAATATTCTGGGGCATGGGCTTTAACAAGACAGCTGCTACTCTGTGCTGATCTATGGCCAAGGTTAAACCTGAAACTATGCGTCCCAATGCTTTAAGCTCTCCATAACCAAAATTACATTTTTTAATGGACATTTTGAGGCCAGATTTCACTGCCATTTCAAGCACAAAAGTAATTTTTTCCAGATGTGTGGCCCAATCATTAGAATAAATGATAATGTCATCTATGTAAACCATCATCCAATTTTGACGGATAAAGCTCCCAAATATAGAGTCCATCATCCTTTGAAAATGGGATGGTGCATTTTTAATTCCAAAAGGCATTCTGAGGTACTCATAAACACCTAAATGGCATATAATGCGCATAAATTGTCTGCTATTTGGCTCAATAGGTATTTGGTGGAATCCCTTAAGCACATCCATAGTGGTAATATATTTTGCCTTAGACAAGTTATGCAAAGAGTGGTCAATCCTAGGAATGGGATAATTATCAGCTTTGGTATAATTATTCAAAGCTCTAAAATCTCCAACCATCCTGGACTTCTCATTATGCCATGCAATAATTACAGGGGTAGTAATTTCTACCTGTTCATTATGGCCCACTTTTCTTATAACTTTAAGATCCAAAAGTTCTTTGATATGAGTTTCCAAAGCCACTCTGGATTTTGGGCTAGAAGGATAAGGGGCTCTTCTAAGGGCAGGAGGGTATGGAGGTTGACAAGTTAATTCTAACTTGATGTCATGTCCTTTGACATTTCCAATGGGCTCTTCTTTTGTGCAAAAAGCCTCTTTATATTTGTAGCATATTTTTAGGACATCTTTCTTCTGCTCTTGGTTTAGTATATCACTCACAGCTGCTTGTGACAGATAATCTTTATCAAACTCAATGAGTTCCTTTGTCAGGCCAGATACTTCTTTGATTGGCTCAGATATTTTAATGTTCACATTACAAATCTGGAATTTCCTTTTCCAGTCTCCACCAATGGTATAGTATCTATTTTTTCTCTGAAAAATATCTATTCCATACAAGCAGAAAGTGTCATTTCCCAAAATAAAATATTCACATAAAGCATCTTGTAAAACAACAAATTCAACATTGAGTCTCAAAGATCCTTTGGAGTGAGGGAATATTAAGGGCATACTAATTACACCAAGGGGTTTCATGGAAGAATTACAACTGCTGAACTTGGCTTTAGGTATGGGCAACAAGTAATTTTTCCATTCAGGGTAACAAGTATCAAGGAAGTCACTACTAGTACATGAGCAGAAAGCTCCAATGTCAAGCAAAGCTTTCCATTCTTTACCTTGGAACATGACCGTAGTGTAACTGGTTTTTCCCATAGTATAGCTCATACCTGTCTCAGGTTTGTTGGACAAAAGTTTGGCATCAGAAATGTGGCCAACTTCCATTGTAGAATCCCATTTCTGAGGCAAATTTGACTCACCGTGGATGGCATTAATTTCAAACTCATCTCCAATATCTGCTGATATAACATGGAACCTGTACTCTGATTCATCAGATTGGTGATGATTTTGGTGGAAATCTGAGTCTTCAGGTTCCACTTGCACCATTTCAAACCTGGAAGAAGTTTCTTCCTCACTGTCAGGCTCAATGTTGACATTATTTATCCTTTTTCTGGGATTGGGGCAATCAGGTCTCTTGTGTCCTTTTTCCCCGCAGTTGTAGCATTCAGGTATGACAGATTTTTTAGGGGCAATTTCAGCAGGTTTGCCTTCTTTTTCCTTAGGAGCAGGAATCTTTGAAGTTACTTCCCTTCTGTCTGAATAATTTTCCCTGTGTCTTCTGTTGGCACCAGTCATTTCAATGACTTCTTCCATAACATTAATAAATGTGGATAAATCAGTATCCATATTAGGAAGTCTACACCTCATTTGGTGCTCCAGATTTCCTTTACATTGATCAAGCAATTTATCATTAATGTCTAGTTGGGTGGGATTTTTGTACATACAATCAATCCTCTTTTTCTGCGTGAGACACCATTTGTGAGGTTTGTCTTTTGTGGGATCAAAGTAATCACTCTCAAAGGCTCTTCTGATTTTCTGCTCCCATAATCTGGTACCAAAGTGAGCTTTGATTAATTTTTTCCACGTGTCCCAAGATTGTTTTCCAACAGATTCTTGTTTTTCTATGAACCACTCAAGAGCTACTCCCGTGAATAACCTTGGAAGTCTACTAAGAACAAACTCATCATCTGCACTGTAAGACAACAACATGTGGTCAATGTATTTAATAAAACTTATGTGGTCATAATCATCTGAGCCGGCAAATTTAGGCCAATCTGTAACAGGAGGGACTAGCTTATTTAAAGTGGCCAAATCCATGTTGTAATACTTGGATGGAACTCTATTGGCATTATGGAGGGATTGTGGTGGCGCAGAAGAAGTATAATTATTTAAATGGGGTGGAGAATTCCTACTTTGCTGCGGCACAGCACTAGTTTGAGACCTGTTAAGATGAGGCGCGGGGTCTCTGGGTATCTCCTCCATGTAAGGATTGTTAAAGTATGCTTGTGTTTGTTGGTCTAGGCGCGGATGAGCACTGCTATCAGGTTGATTAATGAGAGGTGCAGTGTTATTTTGAAAAATGTATTGTGATAGGGAAGCTTGGACACTAGATTTTATCTCAGCCTTCATATCTTTTCTGAGTAAAGAAATTTGTTCTTTAAAAAGACTGCTCAAGCCTTCTGACCTAATGTTTTGTTGGATTAGTAGGTCTTTTATTATATCTACTTCTTCTTTCTTTTTCGCGTTCTCCACAACATCATCTTCCCTAATGGTAGATATGATGTGGTCGGCGGTGGTGCTTAAGTCTTTGTTGAGTTTATCAACGGACACAACTAGCTTAGAGCAAGCTTTTTCGCTCTTGGCTGTGTTCTCTGCGATGACCTTTGTCATCTCGGGGTTGATGGACAGGGGGTTTCTGATCATATTGTCAAATTGCACAGATAACGAAGTCGCGTTCTTTTTATTGTTGCGTGAAACAAGGTCTAGACTATGTACAATGGTTTTAAAGTTTTCTTCGGCATTACTATCGATAGCCGAGAGATTCTTGCTAACTAGTTCCAGGCTATCTAAAATAGCAGTAACGATCTTAACATCTAATCCGCCATGTGGCGGTAGGCTGCCTCGAGGGTGTTGCAGCCTCTCATCACTTTCTTCCAACGACCTGGGTCGTTGTACAACTCCTTCGCCTCTTTGGAGGAGGAGCTGCGCTTCTTCCCTTCGTTTTTCTTTGGCGCGTTGGGATATAACTCTTTCTTGATCGTCCAAGGGTTCCAGCCCTTGACGAATTCTTCGAGTTCCTTGCGAGGAATCAATTTCTGGAGGACTTTCTGGCTCTCCTGTGCTTGACACAGGAGTGCTTTGAGCTCCTCGGTAGCGCCTGATGGTCGGGCTGCTTCGCATTTCTTCCAAAGAACAATGTGTTCTTTCGTGAGTAATTGAATCTTCTCTTCTTTCGAGAGAACTCTGACGTCCGGCGAGCTGCGGCGTTCTTGGGTATTTGCCAAGGAGGTCGATGCTTGGGGATCCAAGTCCATCGCGTCTGAGGCTGTCTCTGCTTGCGCTGCCGTATGGGTCGTATTCTCTGGAGCTGTCACCACGGTCGCGGTTTTTGGGACCATCGTCCGAGCCATTGTTGCCGTGGCTAAGTCTCTCTCGACCGATATCTCCCCGGTCGGTTTCCCGACCAATACTGGTTGCAGTTTCTTTTGGATAGTGATCAATCGGAGTCGATTGACTCTTTCCTCCAGTTGACTGGCTGCGCCTTGGTCGAGTGGCTGGGGGCAGAGGTCCGTGCAATTCGGGGTTATTGGATCTAGTCGACATGTTCGTCCGCCTAGTCAGTTTTGTTATTTATTTATTTTACTTCACAGAAAAAAAAAAGGAAACGATTCCTTTCTTTTTTAGCAAAAAGAAAAAAAAAGGTAACCTACTGGTGATAGGGCTGTTAGCAGCGGTTTCAGCGGCTGGGGTAGTCGCGGCGCTCGAATTGGAAGTAACAGACACTAAAGGTACCGGAAGCAAAGGTTTTTAGTGTTTGTTTAGAAAGATATAGGCAGAAGCGTGATAAGCTGAAGGGTGAAGACTTATGCTAGCACGTACTTTTTGCAAGTCTTTTCGCTTTTATTTCTGCTAAAATTTCACGGCGACGGTTTTTGTGTTGGCGCTTGAGAGCGTTAAAGGCAAACAGGTTGTCGATTCTCTTTTCTTCGTTGAGTTGGACGCGTGCAAGGGCACGGGCGCGTCGTTCTTGAGGAGAGAGTAATTCCCAAGGTGTAGGTTGATAGGCAGCTGCGCGCTGTGCTTTTTCAGAGGCAAGGAAATCAAGGTAGTAACTGATTAGTCTCGAGGTTTCTTGTAATTCCACTATAAGGAGAAAGGTAAAGAAAAAGGCTAGTAAGATTTAGGATTATTTTTCAATATTTTTAAGATGTTTAGGTGGTTTGATTTTGGTAGAAAAGTTCAAGAGGAAGGAGTAAAAAATATAATTTTTTGTATGTGTTTTAATTTTTTAAAGAAAAAATATAGT